GGCGCCTTCTTCATCCTCCCAATATATTTGAAAAAGGACTTTTTGTTATCCTTCATCTTGGACGCTAATCCGAGCTCTATGTCCGCCTTGGCCTTCCTAACAGCTTGCCTACAGGCCCGAGCAGAGGAGGTATACTCCTCTTTGGAGATTTCACTTACTGCTACATGCACACACCCCAGCCACCCTCACCCTCCACAAACCCCTTACCCACCCACACACACATTCATACATCCCAACAAACCCCATATCCACCCACATCCACAAATATCTCCACACGCCCCCCCACATCACACATACACACACAGCCTCTCACACACCCACAAGCCCCATACCCCACACACCCTTCCACATTCCCCACAATATACAAGAATTAAGACTTCATTCTGAGCTACTATGAAATCACTTCTTTATATAAAGCACAAACACGCACAAATCAGGACAAAAATATTTTAAAAAAGAAAATGAAAATATATTATTATGGATGTTTGATGTTTAGTATATAATTTGTTGTTTTCTTTCCAGTTTCAAGATGGTAAGGCCCCTTTCCCAAAGGAGTACTTCCATGGGCAAGGGGAGGGACTTCCAGTGGCAAAGATCAGAGGTTTGGGGTGGGATTTCTGGTCCCAAGATGGCAACCAAGGTGTGGAATGCTTGTTAAGGGGCAGGTTACCTCAACAACTCACCAAAACTTATTAAGCAGCCCTCTGGCCAAAATAATTGCCCGCCCCTGATCTATAGCCACATATGAGCAGTCACCAAAGGCTGAACTGTTGCAAATATACTCCAGTTCAAAAGAAAATATATATATATCTCTGTAGTTAAATGGGTAGCATTATTGTAATTACACATTTTGTGCTCATGTGTTCATGATTACAGGAAAGGCATGTCCAATGAATGCAGTAAAAAACACAAAATCTATGCTAGTTTTTGTGAAAAGGTATAAGTGATAAAATGAAGAACCACGTGACTTAGGACCTGTGTCCTGAGTATTACTGCATTGTAGAATCAAAGATGCAGTGTAAACATTGCACATGTAATGATGAATAATTATCTGTTAAACTTTTTTCTCTTCGTTATGTAATCTGAGTGGATTGTAGATTCTGTTAGGTCTGTGTTAGCCAAACTAATCTTCAGTAGCAAGCTTTGCTTGCAGTGACAGAAAAATAAACATGGTAGATTTCTGGAGAAACTGTTATTAAGCAGCTGAGGATGACTTTCATTCTTTGATGTGCTGCCTTTGCTTGGATTGACTCACAGCTTTCATAGACATTAGAGCTGGAAGGGACCTCATGAGATCATCGGGGCCAGCCCCTTGCCCAAGGGCTAGGAAGTCAGCTGGGGTCAGATCACCTCAGCAAGATAAGCATCCAAGCATTTCTTAAAGGTATCCGGAGTAGGTGCTTGCACCACTTCTGGGGGGAGTCTATTTCAAACTCTGGAGACTCGGAGGGCAAAGAAGTTTTTCCTTATCCCCTGTCTAAAACAGTCTTCCACAGTTTGTGACCACTAGATCTTGTCTTCTCCTGGTGAACAGACATTCTCCCAGTTCCTGATGCACACCCCTCATATACTTATAGGCTGCCACCAAGTCACCCTGAGCCTTCGCTTCTCCAGGCTGAAGAGTGCCATGCCTCTTAGCCTCTCTTCATAAGTCCTGCTCCCTTGACCTCTAATCATGCACATGGCTCTCCTCTGGACTCTCTCAGTCTTCTCCACATCCTTTTTAAAGTGTGGATCTGAAACTCATGGAGACTGAATCAGTAGACTCTTTTTGTAATTTGAAAATAAAAGAAAACAGGTTGTAAAATATTACGGGCATGTCTGAATTGGATGAATTGACTGAACTGCCAGACAGCACTGAGCTGAAACATGCAACACCACCCCTCACACACCAACTTACTATAGTTTGGCAGGTGGGCAAACTAGCCCTTCTCAGAGTTTGGAAAATATTTCACTGTAGTGTATCCTGAAGCAGTAAGTTAGCATCACAGACACAGTTCTTAGTAGTAGGATAGAAGAATGAATAAACACGAACAGGCAGAATATAAGGGATGTAGGTAACGCGGGAGGATATGCTTATAGAAAGTATTTGATAAAAGTTCTGGAATACAGCGATCCTTGTTAACAGACATGAAAGTTGTCTATGTTGGCAGGAAACGCTGAGCAGAAAGCTCTATCAGAGATTGTCCAAAAGGGCAAAGAGGGTAAAATTGAACAGGGGAAGATGAAGAAGAAGAGAGATAAAGAAATATGGAAAAAAATAAAAATAAAGGATGGCAATTTGTAACTCAATCCTAAAAAAAAGGTTAGTTGCTACAGCTGACTGAAGAGTTCTGTGATCTGTTTCACTTTTAGATACATGTCAAAAAGTAGCCTGTAGACTTCTACATAATCTGCTGTACATAGTGCTCAGATGTATGTGCAGTTCCTTTAGAAAGTCAACCATTCCTGATGAAGTTGAATTAGAGGAAGGAGATGTTAGATTTGTCCTCAGATAAGCACCATTATATTTTCAATTTTTTGCATCAAGTTCAGTAAAGACATAGAAAAAGTAAAAGAGAATTTTGTACATACCATATTTACTCAAATCCAAGACAAGGTTTTTTCCCCAGTCAGCATGAGGAAGTGTAGGGACAAGCATCAGGGGTCAGCACAGAATGACATTGTTTCAGTGTACCATACTTGAACTTGCCATAAATAATGTTGAGTTTAGCTAATTGAATAGTGGCACTTCCTCCCCACCCAGTTTGAACAACAGGCAAGGGATGGAAGGGCAGTGGGTTGGGGGTAGGGTGGCCATCATAGAAGACAGTCTGATTGTCCTCTGTCCTCTATTGATATGAAACCGGATGCCTTTATGTCCTCTCTTTTTCTCTTAAAGAGAACATAAAGGCATCCGGTTTCGTATCAATAGAGGACAGAGCGGCAGAAAACCGGAATGTCCTCTATGATGGCCACCCTAGTTGGGGGTAAGCTGCAGTGGGTAGAGGACAGGGCATAGAGGGGATAAGCATAGGCAGTGGGGCAAAAGGCAGATGCTGGGGGGGCATATGGTGGGGGGAAGGCATTGTGGGGCAAGTATCAGAAGGGATAGGCATAGGTA